GCTCCACTAACGGCGTTCTTGAAGGAAAACTTTGGCAAATCCTAGGAAGAAATAGCAAAAAGCTCGAGGTCTTTATCAAAAAATGTGTAGTCAAACGGCATGCCAAGGAAATGAACTCTGTAACCAAGCTTGTAGAAGTCAGCTTGACTTTGGGCAAGGATAACCTAAAGACCGGACTTCTCGCTCTTCAGCTATTTATTCTCCTTAGTCAGGTCAGTATGAGCACTGTAACTCTTCTAGTTTATTCTTCAAGTTCTCATTAACAAACAATGCTTCTTGCAGCTCCACTTCCTTATACTTAAGTTAATTGACGGCCTTCTTAAGTCGAACAACGTCATTATGCATGGCGAGCAAATCTACATCCTTGGAATCATGGGCGAACCAAAATTCTAAAATGGCACGCTCAAGGTCATGCATTAGCAAAGCTTGAACTTCAATCTCCTTCTCTGCAACGCCATACTTCCCCCGGATCGCGTCAAGCTGAGTCTTCAAGTCATTGATCTTTTGGCGAGCAGTCTTAAACTGTTGAGCAGTGGGGGCAGAGATAACAGATCTTTTCAAAAAGACAAGTTCAGACTCGAACTCTTTAATTTTCTCAACAACCGAGCAAGTTTCTGCTACCATGGCTGTAGCTATCTCCCTAGTAACCTTGGCGTCATCCTGCTCTATATGCATGTACTCAGCTGCCAATATCACAGATTTCTGCATCATAGCAAGTAAGGAACCTTTTCATGAGTGAGCTGCATTCCTTACGAAGAAATGAGAGTCGACAACCTTGCTTACGCCATCAACAAACTTGGCATATGCTTCCGTGTCCTTAAGAAGATCGAGCTTTAACAGCGCATGGATCTCAAAAAACTCTCCTAAAACTAGTTTGGCAGGCTGTTCACGGCTACTCATATAGGCAGAGGCTTCATTCTCAGCATAAGACGTCGACCTTGGCACCACCTTGATAGTGAAATCACCATCATCGTTTTTTGTTGTTGCACGCACTTCTGGAATCAGATCGAACTTGGTCACATAATACTGTCTTAGAATAAAACCAGGCATAGGGGGCAAGGCAGAATTCGTCCACTGAACAATTTTGTCAATAACTATTATAGCAACCTTCAGAATAACAGGCTTCACAGGCTCAGATCCAGCAGCCTCTTTCTTCGCCTTGGAAGAAGTTAAGTCAATCACAAACCTCCCAGCAGTGGACGTACTTTCGCGAGCAGCAGAGGAAGTCCTCAGCTTTTTCTCCACTGGTGGTTTTCTAGCAGACGACAAAGATCTTTCTCCCACCTTCATTTGCAACAGGCTCCACAGTGGCAATTAGACGAGAAAATGTCTCACCCTTGATCTTCCAATAGGGGCAGCCAACCTTTCTCCTTATGAAGAAGACTGAGCAGTCAATGCCACTCGCGATATTCAGCAGGGATCCCCAAAGCGATGTGCACCTTCTTCATGTCGGAAGGAGTCTTGGGAGTTGAACAAAATTTTGAATCTACATAAACAGATGAAGACAAGTCGAAGGCAACTCAACAAAAGTATAAAGTAGCTTAGAGACTAATCAGCCTACTTACCATCGATGAAAGCAGTCGGAATGCGAAGCCCAGGCCAGGAGTCAAATTTCATTTTCGCTGATCTCTGGGGTCTTTCTAGACCAGTCATGATCCCCTTTGCTCAAGTGATTGAACAGCCTATGACGGGTCCTCAGTTACCCAACACCATGATGTGGCTTTTTTCAAAAAAGTACCAAAACTCATTGGCAGTCAGGGCCAAGTCAAAGAACCTGCTCAAGTTGTGGAACCCTACCATCACGCAGACCGCATTTGGAGAGCATTGAGTAGGAACACACTTAATGGAGCAGATCAGATCTTGGAAGAATCGAGGCATGGGAAAGATGAATCTTAACACAAAGTAGTAGGGGTGAAACTTGATAGCTTTCCTAGACCCATACGGTTAGCGGCTGCTACCATCATTGGCCTGCTTCACGCGAACCCCAAACGGAATTGTGTGCTTACACATATCGAGGAAGTCTTTGAATTCCTCATCAGAACCTACCTTGACATGAGCAGCCCTGAAGTAATCTAGCTTACTTGCAGATCCGCCATGGCGATACAACAACGGCATAAATTCATCACTCATATGGCTTAAGGAAGGCATGTTCAAAAATCCTACAACGCGCAAGGAAAAATTATTAGAAGGCTGCTTGATGAAAGAAAAAATAGAAAAAATGGTCACAGAACCTAGCGCACCATGCAGCAACAACACCGCATCATGCCGCAACACACCATCCCAAGTCCTCGACCCCTCTTGAGCCAAAAATTCAAGCCCTAAGGCTCCACAAAATCAAGAAGAAGGAGAAAATTTAGAAAATTGAAATTTTCTTACATTTGGAAAAGAAGAAAAGCAATGGAACACATTACATGGCCAAGCGAAGATGATTACTAAAGAAGGGGGAACAAATATCCTCTGGCTTTCTCTCTTTCTGTGGGGTTTTAATTGCACTCCAAATTTATTTAACCCCCTACTTGACGCAGACTTAAATATGTTTTGGTGGCAATTACATTCCCTTTCCTAGAAGAATTTAAATTCCAAGTCAAAGTGGAGATCTACATCAAATTGGAACACAAACTCTGTTGCAGCTTTGGATTCCTACACCTCTTGCCCTTTTCTGCGAGTAGCCAAGTAGGTGTAGGGGCATTTGTGGAGCCAAAGATAATCCCATAAATCATGGACCTAACATGTGAATTATTCCCCCAAAAAGACAAGACTGCCCCTATTAAATAAGCAGGGAGCAGTCTCATTCACCACATGTAGCTGAGGTAGAGCAGGCAGAGATCAACAACTACTCAAGACACCCATTCGCGTAGGAAAAGTCAAAGGTATTTATGATAGAATAATCCCTTATTCTTATCATAAATACATTCCTAATAAGAGAAAACTTCTTCCAAGTAAGTAATCCTAATCCTATTTATTTATGATATTTACCTAATTACTCCAAGATATTTATTTACACAAATATCTTGGAATTTTCTCACCCAAAATACAACATAGGGCCAACCACCCCTAAACACTAGAGGGTCGGCCCATCTGCTCCTTTTCTCCTATAAATACACACTTTATCTCCAAAATTCAGTAAGCTTTAGCTACCCTAAAAAGGTTTTTTGCCACCCACAAACGCTCAAACACATTTTTCTTAGAATTCTAACTTTGGTCTCGGAGATTCTTTAGCCAAAGCCCCAATTCATCGTGGGCTCGTGATGCTTTTGGCCTTAATCTTAGGTGTTATTATTTTGCAGGTGCAGATTCGTCAATCAAAGGAAGGCGGAAATTTGCATCCACAGTCAAACTTTTAATAAAAATTTAACCTTCCTAAAGAATGCTAGATTGTTCATGTGCCATTAGGGTTTAGTTTAGGGGAGTTTTAATGACAAGGGCTTCTCCTAACTCTTTATTAACCAAAAATCATTTAATAACTTTATTTAATAAAAAATACTTAAACTTTAATGAAAATAACAAAATAATTTAATACAAAAAAAAAAACTGACATGTGGTTCCACTCAAATCACACACACACTCTCTCTCCATCCCTCCCTCACTTCACCCATACAAATCATATTATTTAACTATATATATCTCTCTCTCCTTCCACATATTCCTCCCATCAACTTTCTTTCTCTATTCTCCTCTCTCCCAACCTATCCACATCAACTTTGTCTATCATCTCTCCTTTCACATAATCCCACCCTCTCATGTCACCATAAATAACATATATATTTTTTTATTATTTATCCACGCGTCAAATCACTCACTCACTCTCTTTCTCACTCTCCACCTGTATAGATCATATTATTTAACTCTATTTCTCTCTCTATTCTTTTACATTTTCTATCTCCACTCTCCTCTCTCCGCTCCCATCCACATCAACTTTGTCTATCACCTCTCATTTCACATATCCCCACTCTCTCATGTCACCGTAAATAATATATTTTTTATTTTTTGTTTATTTCAACATTGTTTCATGATTTTTTTAGAACAAACTAAGTAGTAATATTACAAGACCAACAAAGAAGAAAATTTTCATTTTTCAGTTTTATTAACTATGCTAATTTTAATTTCGAAATAGTGATTTTAACTTTAATTTGGATAAATTATTCAGTTTGTGTCTTGGATAAGTTATTAAGTTTATATCATGTCGTATGAACAGTGACTATTTTTAGAACTGAAGATTGATTATTTCAAAAATTGAACACGAATATTTTTAAGAAAATTAATGAAAAAGGCTTCAAAACTTTGAATTTTATCCAAAAATCATCCAACAACTTTAGGTGCGCGCCACTCCGTGTTTAGTTTCAGAAATAGTATTCATGTTTAGTTTCAGAAATAATATAACTCTCACGTTCAGTTTTAGAAATAGTGATTATACTAGTGTTTAGTTTAAGAAATAATGATAGTACATGTATTCAATTTTTAGAAATAGTCACTGTACAGTTCAAAAATAGTGTGGTACATGTGTTCAGTTTTAGAAATAATCAGTGTTCAGAGATCAAATGCAGGGTTGGTTTTTTATTGTGTTACTATTTCTTCACTACAAATAAATGCAAAAATGTTCTTTATGTTAGAGAAAATTAGAATTCACGCATTCTCCAACATGACTTCGCATAGAAAGCAAGACGTAAATTTGTACCTTCCAAAAATGTTTACCGTAAGACAAATATTTATACCTGTAAAGTGGGATGAGTTTTCGCTTTTGCAAGTACCATTGTAGCATAATATCCAGAATAATATTTGGATCAAATGAACTCGAAAGATCCCTTAATAATCTTGAAAACAATGAATATACATTCGGTGTCCATATAATTGAAGGGGGCTTGGGAAATGAAAACACAAATATTTGTACTTAAAATAGTGCATTTATGGAGACTTTTTGTCCACTCTAATTACTTGATCACCACTCCAGTGTATGGTTGCATCATCTACCTTACTCATCTATCATATAGAAAACAATCAAATAGACAAGTTCAATCTCACGGTGACATTATCATTTAAAATAAGAAATTGGTCTTGCTCAGTTTATTGAGCATAATATACAACACATCGGCACGACGTTAGGTCCTAAACCAGTCTTGGAGGCACAACAACACACAAAAGCAAGGCTTTTTTCCCCTCCCGCTGGAGAAAAGGAAAGCATATGCATACCAGCATTCAGCATTCACAGGACTCCCAATAGCTTCTTTAAATCCCGCTGCAAAAGAATTATGTAAGCAGAAAGCTAGCATGATTACACAGATCGAAAATACAACAAACATCAAAGGTAGCACAGCACAATTATATTTGAGAATCAAAGTTCGAACATCCAAGTTTTTACCTCAATACTAAGGGGGGGAGTGGTCGGGTAATAGCGATCAGAAACTTTCCCCTCCTTGTCAACTAGAAACTTGGTAAAATTCCATTGGATATCATCTCCAAAGAATCCCCACTTGCCTAACTTCAAGAACTTATACAAGGGAGCAGCATTATCACTGTTTACTTCAATCTAACACAAGAGCGAGAGATGGTGAAATTACAAACCAAATTTCACATATTACAATACTCCATTCTCTCAGATGTAGAGGAAATGGCCATGGGGAAGAAGATATACAAATTCTAAATTGCAAAAATTCTAAACTAATTTTAAAACTGCATGTAACAATATAGCAGTTAATTTGACTAGCCTATCATTATCTCAAATCTTGAAACTAAACTTGTAATCTAAATATGGAATACCCTTCTCCATCGTTTTACAAAGAGAATAAATAATAGACAACCTTGTGGTTGAACCCTTTTGGCCGGCCTAAAAGTGCAATAGGTTTAACAGTGTAAGCTGTTTGAAAGTAGATACAAACTAATCTACAGCTGCTTGATTTACCTTGTCAAAAATTGGAAATTCAGATTTGAAACGAGTGCAGACAAACTCTTCAATCTCTTTATTACTTCCCGGTTCCTCATCACCAAACTGATTGCATGGAAACGCCAGTATCTCAAAGCCTGCATCAATTCCCCAGTATATCACACAAAGGCGAAAAACAAAAGGGTAGAATTATATGTTGAATTAGTCATATTACATTGATCTTTCTCTTATTTATCTTTAAGAAAAAAGGACTTCTGTATTTTACACCGAGGAGTACTTGTTTCTATGATGAAAATGAGACTGCCACTATTGGTTACCAAAACGATAGGCGTGAAAGAACATTTTGAGATCAAAATGCAAACCTTGATCTTTATACTGTTGGTATAGTTGATTCAGCTCTGTGTAGTTTGAGTTGGTCAGTCCACTGCCACAATTAGTGAAAACCAGCATCGTATAGATACGTTTAGAAAGGAAAAACAAAAACAAAACAAAAATAGTTTCCCGTATTAGCCCTGAATAACATCACACCTTTAGAGAAACACTTCAAGCTCAATACTTAAGAGAAACACCCAATTGAATATGCAACGGGAGAAGGGCACCAAATGAATTTTGCAACCAGCAATCAATCAGAACATGACAAGTGACTAACTGCGGGTTTATATCTCCAATTAAGCTCTCTAAGTGTTTATGTATGAAACTTATAGTTGTCAGGCGCAAAAAAGAAAGAACAAAGAAAGTAAGGAGACGAGGAATAATACCATTTGGAAGCAACATTGATAACGAGTAGAACTTTTCCCTTGTACAAGCTAAGATCCACATCATTGCCCCTTGCATCCTATACAAATATAAACACAACTATCAAAACCAAGATTCAAAAACAACACTTATTCATTAACCGAATTAATTCCGACATAGATTCAACACAATAGCAACATTTATTTATTTATCTATCTTTTTCAGAAATAGTGGGGCAAGCCACGGTTATCCACTGCTTCCAGGCCGAAGAGGCTATGTTTTACAATATTCCTTTTGTTTTTCTTGGCAACCAACCAGAGTCCAGAGTCCAGAGTCCAGACAAAGGAAAAATCCCAATTCTCCAAACAAGCCAAAAATAAGTAGTACCCAGAATTCAAAATTCCTTTAAATTGATTAGTATTGCAAGAAAAGATGAAAACTTATAACACAACCAGATGATTCCAACACTACCCATCTTCTACTTATTATTTAAACAACAAATTTTTGAAGAATATGTAGAGTCTTTTTACATCGCAACCTAAAAATTGAGCAGAAAAAGCATAAACTAATTGAAGATATGCAATTATACATAGATGAATGACATAGATGGGGAGTTACCTTGACAGTGAAGTCGTAAATTGTTTTTGGGTTCTCAGTTGCCTGGCTTGTCATCCTCTTCCGCTCTCAACTCTGAACAAACTGAAACACCTGAAGGTCCACAACGTTGAAAAATGCCGTTCTTTCCATATTCAATGTTGGAAGCTGACCTGCTAACAAAATGTTAATGACGCTTAGGCCCTCATGTTTCTCCTTGGGCCTTGGTCACAACCGTGGGCTAGGCTATGCTTATACTCATTGTTGCTCGGGGTTCGCTATAGTCTTACATGAGTGGATAAACGTAACTTACGATCAGTTTTTTATTTTTGCAGGTTCAAAAAAAACAAAAAAAAAACATTGATTTTTGAGTACGGTGATTCATTTTTTGCAGACATTTTATTTTTACTTATAATGAATTTTCTTCAACCAAATGGAGAGGGGTGCGGCTAGATCAGATGATTATGCAGAATGATTCATTTTTTTTTACAGGCATTGTGATTTTCCGTTTAATGAATTTTCTTCTAACCAAGTGGGGACGAGTGCTGCTAGACTAAATGATTGTGTAGAGTGATTCATTTTTTACAGGCATTGTGTTTTTCCGATGAAAGCGCGACGACAAGGGGCAGGGGAGCAGGCGCCACCACACAGGGTGACTCCGAGGGTAAAAAGCCACCACAAGAGTCAATAACAAACGAAGCTTAAATGCATAATCTTTCCTTAAACATCAACAGAACGCAACCCTTACAAGATGCCCAATAATACAAATAGATGCATCTTATTACAGTAAGTGCCTTTTATTCCACTATTAATTTACTCTCCTCTCATTTCTTCATATAGAGCTGCCCGTTCATGCGACCCCCAGCAGTTTCTTCACGTCCTTCTGCAAAACAAGAAGCAAGACAACAAACCAGAAATTCGTTAACCTAATTCACTTTCTCAGTTCAATGTAATTGTCATGAATGTATGTACGATTTCGCACCTCAATGCTAAGAGGAGAAGTTGTAGGGGCATAACGGTCAACGACTTTCCCTTCTTTGTCAACCAGGAACTTGGAGAAGTTCCACTTGATGCTGTCACCAAACAGTCCACCCTTGCTAGACTTCAAGAATTTGTAAATCGGAGCGGCATTGTTGCCATTCACATCCACCTAAAATTGGAAGAATGTAAATCTCCAGCTCTAGTAAATGAACGAAATGAAGACGCTTTCGCTGCTGATATGACATCCTAAGGAGCTCTTTACCTTGTCAAAGATGGGATACTCAGCCTTGAAGCGAGTGCAGGCAAACTCGACTATCTCGTCATTTGTCCCTGGCTCCTGAGCTCCAAACTGGTTGCATGGGAATGCCAAGATTTCCAAACCTGCAAGTCCACAGAAGCAAGTGTGAGCTACAAGCCTACAAGGCAACCGAAAGACTCGGAGTTTCTACAAAAACAGCCACGGGATGAAGTACAAACAGGCAAAAGGAAAGCAGACCTTGAGTTTTGTATTTCTCATATAACTGAGCCAACTCTGTGTAGTTTGCATTAGTCAAGCCACTGCATCAAAATAAAAAACCAAATTATATAATACGCTCACACTTCAGATTACGAAAAACAAGAGCGGCAAAAAATGCATCCCATTACATGAGAAAATAACCATATTTATCAGATTTTCATTCCATTTGGTAAGTATGTATGGATTGCACATAGAATCTCAGAAGAAGAATGAAGATATAGTGTACCATTGCGACGCAACGTTAACGATCAGAAGGACCTTCCCTTTGTAGGTGCTGAGATCAACATCATTACCCTTGGCATCCTGAAAGTAAACGGATTTACATTATACGCATTCAATTCTCAGTTTGCGGATGAAGTTTAAACAACCTACAGCCCCTATAGCACATGTCACTTTTGCAACTCAATCCCATCAATTTTTTTTGGGTCAAATTTAAAATAACCCAAATTCATTTTCTATTATAAATAGTAAAGGCGATATTCTTCACTAATCTACGCTACGTGGTCGGGGTGGTTTGCACCCGGGACAAAGCGGATTGAAGAGGATGACCCTAACCACAAGGGCCACCCACCAATGCGATCAGAACCCAGATTCTAACATGATCAATTAAACCCAAAATAGATTAAAGAACGGACCTTTACATAAATTACCCGAATTCTAATACAATAGGGGAAAGCCAAGTCAATACCCCTAATTTTAACATTTTTTTTTGGACAACCGATAGATTTTGTTAGATCAGATGTTAAATTAGCCACCGACGAGGTATGAATCTATGCCGTCCTGCTAAACAAACAAAAATCCCCAATCCCAAATGGAAAATGAAAATAGTCAAAATTGACGCAAAACTGTAAAAATAATCAAAATTCATGAAAAGACCACCTTGACAGTGAAATCATGGATTGATTTACTCTCGGACTGGCCAGCCATTGTACGATTCAACAGCAAAGTAGATGCAACCGGGCTTGAAAACTCGACCTTGATAGACGGCGAAAACAGAGAAATCCGCGACCGTGGCAAAAGGGTCTGCAAGGAATCGGCGGAGAAGTGCTTTTGCAGACGCTGAGACGCAGATGAAGCGGCAACGGTGAGTTTTCGTCGGAAGAGAAAACGAGTAGAATTGCAGATGCAGGGCATTTGGAGATTCAAGGCAGAGAATGGGCCTTTATTTATAGCTGTGGAATGCGATGATCTGTGAGCGCACACGTGGAGGAGACTCGGTTGACACGTAGGTGGTTTTGTATGCGCACACGTGGAGGTGTAAGGACAAAGCGTTTGGAAGTGGGGAAACGGCTGGGATTTTGCATCAGGGAATACGTCATGGGTTTCAATGGTCAGATTTTAGTTGATTGTTGGACTTAAATAAGTGTGAATGGTGTGAACTGTGTATGTTTGGATATTTGACATATTTTTGGTTTTCTCTTAACTGTTTTGTACTTTTGTGATAATGCAAATTCTTATTTGTCTTTGATTCTTTACTTCTGGATTTGGTTAGTTTTTTAGCGGACAAGAATTGTTTGCCCTATCATTTTCGATGATCTCTTGTATCTTTCTATTTGTGTGGTTACGATTAAGTTACATCAACATTTTATATTACTATTCATTTGTATCTTATTATCTTTTAAAAAAATAATATAAAATATTGACGTGATTTAATCGTGACCACACAAAACAAGAGGACGCTGAAAGTTGAAGGGCAGACAATCATTGTCCTTTTTCAGCGGATCTCTTGAAAGTTACAGTTTTCTTTATATATATTAGATGGATGTTGTGAAACTGATGTGATGTGTGGGTGGAATAAAATAAATAAGAAACAATATTTATAATATTTGACAAATGTGTTTACTTCCTTAGAACAACAGTAGTAAAAATAATAAAAATACAAAATAATTCTAATTATTTTCCAGTCTTCTTCTTCTTTTTCTATCTCTTCTTTCTTTTCCTTTATTCTTCAATACTTTATATGCAAAAATCAAGACCTAACAAACCCATCATATTTTTACCCAAAAAAAAAAAAACCCCTATCATATGGGTTATTTTAATACATTACTGGGAAGCACAGTCATCAAGTGAATAATAAATTTTAATGATCTTTCAAATTCTTCATTAATATTGTTTTTTCAGTGAGCATTCACACTGCTTTTATTGTCCCTGGTCTGAAGGAAACAAAAAAGATATTTTGCTTATGTAGCCAATGTCATACTCTCAGATGCTCTACCTAATTATAATAAACCTAGATTAACTACCTTGTCATCAAGCGGATGTGTGTCGATGCAAGCTTTGAACTTCTCAAGTGAAGACTTTGGAAATATGAATTTTTTTAACTAATACGAAGATGTACCAACAAATGTTTGTTTTGTTGATCATTGTAGAATCAATCTATTTCCATTTGTAAGGAGGATCTCAATGAGTTGAGCAAAGCAATTCTCAATTGTTGGCAAATATGGAATGAAAGAAATAATCTGGTGTTTTTGGGGGCATCAATCTTATCCATACTCGCTGCCTTGCCATTGCAGCTAGTGTGGATTCTTCGTTCTTCACCGTTAATTGGAGCAGCCCCCTTGATCAAGACGTTATAAAGTTAAATTTTGATGATTCTGTCATTTTGAAGAGAGGTGTTGCTGCCTTCATGTTAAGGAATTTTGAGTGTCGGGTTATTGGTGTTGGTGCCTTCAACCTGGACGGAGTAACTATTTCAATGGCTGAAGCTATAAGTTTGGGGGAAGAATTAAGGTTTGCTAGACATGAAGGGCTTCAAAACATTCTGGTGAAGGGAGATTCAAAGCTAATCATTTGTGCAATTCAAGGAAGATGAGATGTCTCTTAGAACCTAAATTCTATTATTGAGGATGTTCGTTGGATAGCCTCAGAGTTCAATCACATCGAATGAAACCATGTTTTCGAAGAAGCAAATTTTGTGGTTGATAACCCGCATTTTTGGGATCATTGTCTCTCTTTTGTAGTGTTTAATGCCCTAAACTTTGATTGTTTGGGCATCAGTTGTTGCAAAGGTTTTTTTCCTTTAATAAATTTATTTTTCTTCATAAAAAAAAAAAAAAAAAAAGAATAGGGTGTGGTTTTGGGTCTTGCAGAAGGAGCTTAATGCTGATCGCCAATTAGTGACATCAATTTGGTCACCCTATTAAATAAAAATGCTTATGCAATTCAAATTTTGAACTCTTCCATTATAAGTACCTTTCTAAACGTAATTGCTTTGTTTTCTTGAAACAATTGTTTGTTCAAGTTGGTGGGATTTTTTGCTATAGATTAAATCACCCACCACATTTACAATGAATTTGAGCGATAACTATATATGAGATTTGTAGGTGAATGGAGGCTCACTGGTTGTATTATGTTTCCACCTGTATCTAATCCCAAATTAATTTTTATTTTTTGGTTCTTTTTCAATTTTTGAAGAATTAGGCTGTTTTGTAACGATAAAATGAACGATGGTGTTTTTTTGTTGAATTTCTCTTTTGCAATTTGGGGTTTTTCTTTTTTCTTTTTTTTTTTATTTTTTTTTATTTTTTTATTTTTTATTAATTCTATACCATCCTGTGGTGGTTCATTGCACGACAAGAGTTTGATTTTTTAAAAAGTAAGCATTAGAATGATGTGACAGTAATTACAAGTTAAATAAAAAATACGTATTGTTCTTGTAGGACTCAAATATTCCTTTTCCCTCTCCACAATGCTTTGTTTATGAGTAGGGGTGGGCACGGTGTGGTTCGGTGCGGTTCTACCCCTAAATTGGAACCGGAACCGAAATATATTAACGGTTCGATTCGGTGCGGTTCCACTTAAATTTATGACTAGAACATTACGGTTCGGTCTACACCGGTTCCGATTCGGTTCTTGCCGGTTTACGGTTCCTAATAATAAATTATTTGAACACCAAATCATTATGCATTCAAATACATCTTCTAAAACTGATTACATAAAGTTGCATACAACACATCTTTTTTAATGCAAATGTCTTTGGTAGTGGCACCAAATCAACAAAAAGAGACAACTAAAATACATATGCACTGGTCAATCAGTCAACAAACAAAAAAATGATGAAACAAATTGCAAGTTTTCAGACTTCAGAGAGCAAGCAAGAAGCAGCAGCTCCTGTACACAATTTTTCAACCTATTTTTCAACCTATTATACCATGACATGTGTGTGTGTATATTATTTATTTATTTATTATTAATAAAACGGTTCGGTTCGGTTCGGCCGGTTCTTGGTCATTCGAAACCGGAACCGGAACCGGTTTGAACGGTTCGGTTCGGTTTTTCACTCAAAGTTGACTTTTCCGGTCAACACGGTTTTTTTTCTTACGGTTCGATGCGGTTTTGCGGTTTGGCGGTTTTTATGCCCACCCCTATTTATGAGTTCAAAAGTGAGACAAAAATAATGAAAGAACCAAAAAAAAAAAAAAAAATTTGAATCTTTAAATTTTGGTGCAAAACAAAGCACATCGGCGTTGTATGATTCATAACCGACCCCACTTAACAAGATAAGGGTTGGTTGTTGTTGTTGTGTTCTCAAATTATACATTTAATTTCAATTTGGTCACCCTCTCCATGAGATTACTCATTGTGATGGAAAATGCATCCTCAAACTTTTCAAATTTTGCATTTGAATCCCCATACACCAAACCAGGCAACAATTCATACACTATAAACCTCCTCATATCATCCCTCTTCTCCTTCGAAATCTTCATCAACATCTCCACCACATTCACCTTCATTCCCCTCACTTCCTCTTGATCCACAAACACAGAATAATTTCCATGATCCTCCGGCAAATGCCACGGGTACTGGTAATAAGCCGTGAAAGGATCAAAAAGCACGGGAATGCAGCCCGCTATCAGCGAATCAAATAATGATTTTCTAGTAGGGCTGTCCCCTGGGGGCTGCAGGCAGAATTCAGACTCTAGGAAGAGGTCAATGACCGTCTCTGGCTGATCACATCTGCCCGAACCACAGTCAAGAAATCGGCATTGGTTTCCATTTTTGGAGGATGGATTGCACTGTTTGATTAGCATAGACCTTATGCTCTCAGCTTGACCAGGCCTTTCTGCACCAGCAAAGCCCACTAACTGTTTTCTGTGCGAGCTTATAATTTTCCATTGCCATGCTATGATGTCGTCGTCTGAGCTTGGATGGAAGGATGTTGGGTGTGGGATTCCTATGTCATTTGGCTGCCATGGCTGCCTCTCAATCAATAGCTTTACCGGGTTTTTCATTTGATCAATCTCCAAGAATCTGGTTCCCCAAGAGCGGTCCTTTCTCCGAAAATCCCATGAAATTTTTCCCAACACAATGACATGATCCTTGCGAGAATTCTTAGTCCATGATCTTTGTTTCTCAAGCCATGTTATGAGCTCCAAACTCAATGTGTCTTTCACGTCGCTGGAGACATTCTTGAAATGCCATCTCAGAATGTCCAAACCGCCGTAAAATGGAATGTAGAAAAGCTTGGCTTCATCCTCATTATAAACCCTGCAAGGATGCTTCATAACCCTCTGATGAAAAATCGGCTCCAATGAGTACTGATGTGTCTGGTACCAACCGTTTCCGAATTTTGGAATTGGTTCTCCCATGGCTTCATTTTTGAAGTACTTGCAGAAGTCCATCCATGGAACCATGTCTCTGCACTGACCAATCAAGTCAAAATTAAACTTGGATGGCAAGTCATACACATATACTCCCCTCCCTTCGCACCCGGCTTGCTTCTTATCCGAAATCCATGATCTGTGCAGTCGCATCTGTTCTTCAACGTCCTTCTTTGCATTCGCAACCTGCTCTTCTCCGTCTTTGTTCTCGCCATTCCTCATAGTTACCGGTTCAGACTCATCTCGGATAACTTCAGCGGTCTCTCTCACCTTCTCACCATTGACAGTGGATTGAGGACTAGTGGAACCATTGCCGCGGTACAAAGGAGGCGACGAGGGAAGAGGCAGGTTCAAACTCTTGTCAAGAGTGTAGAGGTAAATGGAACTATGATTGACGATCGGAATTGGGATTTCAAACTTGGGTTGGGTTTTACCAGCAGATAGGCAGTAATGGTCGTTGAGCTTCCGGGAGGAAACACAAATGTGGACAATGTTGCCGGAGAAAATGGTGGCGGAGGAGGACCAGAGGTAGATAAGAAAGAGAATGAAAAATGCAACCGGGACTCGATAGAGAAATTTGAAAAGAAAAAGGAAACAGTTACAGGATTCTTTCGGGGCCGGTTGCCTGGGGAGTTTTGGTTTTCGTTTCGACATGGAAACACCGACCATTGTGAGAAAGCTTGATGTTTGCACTTGCTCCGCCTCTGGCTTTAAGTTCTTGCAAGGGGAAGGTCGGATCGTGTTCTTTCATGGAAGCACGTTTGAGAAGTAGAATCTGATTTGGTTGCACGTTGGAATGCAATATTTTCTATTACTTTTTTTTTTTTTTTTGGTCAAACTGTTAAGTATTAGTTTTCCAATACTTAATTCTTTGTATTTGTCATTGTATTTTCTAATTAAAAAAATATTTAGGTTTGCATTTGACTGAATTCCAATTATTATATAGCAATAAAGGATTAAAGATGTACCGTACTTATCAAACTGGCTTAGATTTGAGCCAAATTCAGAGCAGGGCCGCCCTAAATTTTAATAACTTTCTGTATATTAATTGTTTAAAAACGTGAACATAACTAACAAATCCGTCCTACGGAGTGGGAAGGCTCTGGTTCTTCCAGTTAACTAGCTCATATTTTTTGTCATAATAAACTAAAATCCTTAAAAGTCTCTACTATTTTAATTTCATTGGAAAATTATCTAGTCATCCATATATATCAAAAAGAAAATTATAATGCAACTTTGCTCACTTCCTTAAGTCATAGACACCACACCATGCTTCATTCTTTTTTTTTTTTTGAGTTATATCAATTTATACACAATAAAAATATAAAAGAAAATATAGCAATCAAAATTTTAGACCATATAAGGGTCTCTGTTTGAGTCTCACACAGGGTCTCCAAAATCTCAGGATCGGCACTGTTTGAGATTCCCACATTGATCGGCCATTGAAAGGAGAATCTAGTCCTTTATAAGGAATGATACCACACACTTATTGTCGAGGCCTTTTGGTGAAACTTCATACCTATTTCTCTTAGGTGGTTAAAGTGGGGGGAATGTCGGCCATACCAACTCATGTATGTGGGACCCATCAGTGTGCTTCTGCACAACAATTGGTATTCGAGCCCAGCAAGGCTTGGTGGATTGATGACTGTCACAGTCTTTGAAATTGGAGAGCTACAATTGGTATCAGAGCCAAGCAACGCTCGGTGGATTGGTGAGTGTCACAATCTTTGAAGTTAGAGAGCTCATTTGGAATTTGATTGCATGTGGTCAAGGTGGAGCTCTATTTGAATTAGGATTGTGAGAAGTGTCTTTGAAGGTAGAGAGCTCATTTGGTGGATTGGTGATTGTCACGATCTTTGAAGTTGGAGAGCTACAATTGGTATCAGAACACAACAATGCCTGGTGGATTGGTGACTGTCACAATCTTTGAAGTTGGAGAGCTCATTTAGAATTAGGTTGCATGCAGTCAAGGCAGAGCTCTATTTGAATTTGGATCATGAGACGTGTCTTTGAAATTAGAGAGCTCATTTGGAATTTGGTTGCATGTGGTCAAGGTGGATCTCCTTTATAAGAAATGGTACCACACACATATTGCCGAGGGTTTTTAGTAAAACCATATACCCGTTCCTCCCGTTGGTGTGTTTCCGCACTACACATAAGGGCGGGATTAACGATCACTTTGAACTCAGCTCATTTAGAGATGTGATTTACAATGTGATAAAAAAATTAATGTTCTTATTGAACACAAACCTTTATACAGCGGGACTAACGATCAGGTTGAATTCACAACGTTCAAATATGTGATTTACAATGTGATCGAAAAATGATATTATCGTTGGTGTTTTTAGTAGACAAATTATAGAGAACGCAAGAATTTTCTTGAAAATTTTATTTTACTTATTCATGTTCCCACATCATCTCACTAGTGGCGGAAAGGAGGCAAGAAACAGGAAGAAGAACAACAATGTCAACAAACATTACGTTCATTGTTCAGCAATTAAAGTTAATAAAATGATCCCAGCAGCGACAAACATTTGAGCTTTAGTTTACAACATACTGTCGGTCCTCGAAGGCAGCCTGCGGAAGAAATTGATGGGTGCGGATGGTAGCCTATTGCGAAATCTCGGATGCCTCATCATAAAGAACCCTGCAAATGCTGCCACTACCTGGAACGGTGTAACGTACATCACCAAGGCAGCTATGAGGCAGAATGTGACAAAAAGTGCCGAAGTGCGTGGATCGCGCCAGCTTAACAGTGCCTGAAACCGCTCCCCTTGGGTAGCTACATCACCAACAACAGTCTGAATTCTACCAGCTACGCTCCTTAGGCGATCATACCTCATTCTCACCAGCTCTGGGTTCTTGCTTGTTGGGAATGTGTCGAACTCCTCATCTAGCTCATCGGGGTGCACTAACTCGGCTTGTGAGATCTTTGTGTTCATGTGGGGAGGATATCTGGGCCTGTAGCGGAAGTTCCATATCCCTATCAGAAACATGTAAAGAAACACTGTGGGCAGAATTAATTCCGGGAAGCAAACAAGCATAAGGAAGAGAACATGAACAAGCACTGTTGTGATAGGATTCTTCCACATGCATATATCAGTAAACCATTTGCCTACAGCAAATACTCCTGAGAAAACCGTCATTAGCCTGAAGAAATTCGCTTTGCTCCGCCTCATACTCCAAAGATGCGAGTCCACGTCAGACATGTATTCCACCACTTCCTTCCTAAGTGGTGGCTCTGCTCGGCCTAGCCTTGCTGCAACTATGTTGACAGCCTGGTGACGTAACATGTCAAGCTGCATAATGTTGAAGGGCCTCACATAATGCATCTTTGGCAGCAGCGGTTTTGAGTATACGAACATCATGTTTACAAAAGAAGTGCATGAAAACCGAATTGCCAAATGCAGCTCCCCCATCTTCTTAACACCAGTTGGGTGAAGAACCAGCAGGGGATAAGAGTGTGTGTATATACGTCCTGCTTCAAGTGTTGAGATACGAACGCGAACCTTCCCAATCTTCAGGTCCTTGTTACCATAGGAATCCTTATCCCCGAGCTGACTGTTGTCGAATACACCTACAGTAAGAACTGTAGCAGGGTCAAATACTTCCCATGTGTACTGCTCATTGTATTTTGGACTCAGGTTATCAATGAGGGTTCTTGTCCGGACCCATTTATGACCATACTTTGCCACACAGTATGTATCTGATGTGCCCTTTTCGTTGCGTGTTTTCATTGGGTGAAGCCCTGATGCATTCAAGATTCCGAGCTCTAGTACCCCAATTGATGGCCTCCAGAGCTGCTTCGCTGTAGGGCGTAAATCACTACTGTAATGAGTTGATTCATCAAGAACATGATAACCTCCATCAAGACAAACTCGAAGATGAAGGCGGCTGGAGAACTTGTCCCTTTTCAACTGATCTATATCAACAGCAACTGGCTTTTCCAGATTAAACCATCGGGAATGGATCATACGATCATCAGCGCGCCTATCTACAGCATTCAGAGGTAATATGACTCTCCCAATGATTTCATCTCTTCCAGGGCCCACACGATCCTCAACTGAAATGATAAGATGATCTTCAAAGGGTTCAGAAGCAACAAACAAAAGATCTTCATTCCAAAGGGGGTTTAGATTCCGAGCCTGAAGTGTCTTTGTTTTCAAAACCTGGTTTCCAAGCTGTACCTTGACATATGATTCCGGAAAGCGATTCTTCTCTGCTGCAAAAAGGTCTTGTGCCTCGATAACATTGACACGCACATACCACAACCTTGGTGCATGATAGACCTTTGAACGTATTAGCGTGGAGGCAGCTGGTGTGCTATCAACAGGAGTAGCTGCATCAGAATGCCATGCATCAGAAAAGGCCTCATCTGCTTGCGTTCCAATCCAGACTGCGAGCATCAGCTCGCTCTTAATCTTTTCTCCCTTCTTGTCCTCAAGCCGGTACCATTCTGGAGCCAGAGGACTATCTGGTGGGACTCTCATCGGCACCTCATTGATGTCGAATCTTACAAGCCCCACAAAATCATCTTTAATTAGATCCTTGTCCTTAATCACAACTTCTAATACAGATGCTTGCATTCGATCCTTTGAGAAGGCAAAAACCTGATTCCATGTAGGATTTTGCTGCTTCTCAAAGTGCTTTGTAATCCCTCTGTAGTTTCCAATTCTGACTTCAACATACGGATCAAGACTCCCAGTGACATCCATGGCAGGAAGCTCGCGAGCCTTAACAACCCTTACGTATAAAAAATACATGCGTTCCACGAGATCATAGGTGCTTGCAGTCTTGTCTCCGTGAATAACACGGCCACCAACAACTCTTCCACCTCCAAGGTAAGGGCTAGTCTCTTTTAGTGCAAAATCAACCGGTTGTGATGATGCAGCAGAGTGCATGCGAACCAGCTTTGCAGGCTGCGGTTGTTCCTGTTTCATTTGATCAGCTTCGTACTTGGGCACATAATGCTCATCAGGTGCAGAAGAAGCACGATGCTGATGTTGTTCGTCATGACTTGGATGAGGAAGATGATGAAAGCTGTGTCTGGTCCCAGCTCTCTCATTTTGCAAAGCATTCATGACAGAATTTGGAACTCCTTCGGCGTGTCCATGAGCTGCACGTGGATCCGCATTTGCGAGGGATTCGGCATTAGGGACTGGGGTGGAAGACCTGATTGACGGGTCATCAGTAACATACACCTTGAGGCCAAGCTCTCCTCTTACACGGGAAAAGATGCCGCGCTTTTCCAAAGGGTAATGCAAGACAACAGCATCTGCATAGGGAACAAATGAGTTTCCGGTGAGGCTAATCTTTCCAAGGAAGGACCTGGAGTAGGTAGCTTTGACATTATTGTAGACATAGGCCTCTAGTGTAAGATAATGCAGGTTTGAAGGATCAGAAATGTTGAAATAGAAGCTCTCGTTCCAAACGGGGTTTAGATCCTTTTCTTTGATAGTGGTGCGGAACCTTTGACCATCAAAGTAAAGCTCCACAAAAGCATTGGATGAACCTTGCCCATCTTTAGGCAAAAGATTGTGCGCGCCAACTACATCTACCCCGAGCTTAAGATTGTTCATCATAGTAACACAACAAAATAAAAAACTACAGGCACCTACAGAGAAAGGAACAATATAAATTTAGACACTGATATAGATGTGTAATTAAAATCTGCTAACTTGCAAAATACAAAAAGTGGGACTTAAATTAAACAAGTCATATGGATTGGATTGGGAAAGCAACAAAGTCAGCAACTTTTTAGCACAAGCATGTGCAGAAGTGGGATGTTAAACACAAATTAAATAAAGTAATTAAGCACAAAAAATAAAGCAACCCTAATGAGATCCAAAAAGCTCGCTTAATACACATGATCTTTTCATTGAATATTCACCACCTAATCAGTCAGGAAAGTACAAAAAGTCTAACTGGGATTTGGGCTTTGTGAGATCTGTTTGGTGATCAAGAAAATGCAGGAAAATGTAACATTTTAATATAAGTCCAGATAATTGAATAGTTTTAAAATGTGAGGTGCATGGTTCAACTATTTTCCTTCCCTTTCTTAGCAACCAAACAGGATCATATCTCACAGAGTTGTAAAGTCCTCAGTTTTTTTTTTTTTCTTTCACACAGAAGCAGAACAGCAAAAATATAGAATCAAGGGGCCTAAAACTCAAAATGCAGGTAAAAATTTCTGACTTAATTTCTCACACATACATGCACTTTGACAAACCAAAATAAAAATTCATTGAAAAAAAGAAGACAAGCAGAGAAGTAAAAGTAGAAGTTAACAAAGCTAGAAGCTTTTTAATACAACGTGTAATACTAAGAGAGTGGAAAATTTGAGAGTTTATAACTTAATTACTTACGTGGTTTGAAGCTAAATGCAGCTGCTTTCAGATTTTAGCCATTTTCTTTCCAAGTTCTGAGAGAGGAAGGAAGAGGAGGACAATGCAGTAAGGTTTGATAGATTTTAGAGAGAGAGAGAGAGAAGAAAGCGAAGTGGCATTTGCTTAGGAGTGAGTTATATATTTTTAAAAAAAAAGTATAAATAGTGTTTGTTTCTATGGAGTGGTGAGTAAGAGACTAAAAGCTGTGGGTATCGGTACTTGTTTTTCTCTTCCCATTTTCTTCCCTCTGAAGCTCACAACTCTGTCCTTGTTACTCTCTTCGGCTTCTCAGTTTGATTTCACTCTTTAATGTTTAAAATTAGAGTAAATTGCGATTTGACCTCCTGAATTATTACTCTAGTTAAATTTGACCTCCTAAATTTTTTTTTGATAAATTATTCACTAAAACTCCTCGTCACATGTCCTAGTTATGTATTGTATGTTCGATGAGTTTTGGTAATGAGAAATATTAAGAGCACTCTCTCAAAGTGAGATTTTATATGAATTTTCAGTCATTTTACGGTTTAACGTTAATTTTCGTATCAACATTATAAAATATTGTACAAAAAACTTGAAATGACAGAAAGTACATGGAGAACCAAACTTTTGGGAGAATTTTATTCATGAAATTTGAACTTAAGATAATCTCTAACAAAATAGAAATTAGACGCAGGTCACACAAAATAAGCTGTTATTGCCTATATTCATGTAATTTTCATGATTAAGTCTCAACATTTCAACCATGTCACATTGCCACCCTCTTGCTCCTTTCTCATGAGTGGATAGCTCATATATCTATTAACAGTATGTAAATGATGATAAAATGGTCTGAGAAAAAAGAGTACTGCTACATTTACTACATTTTTCATATTATATTTGTTCACCTTTTTAATAGAGATAGAGCTTATCGATATATGTGGGTTTTATCTTTATTAAAAAAATAGTACATATATGATGTGAAAAATATAATAAGAGTAGCATTTTTAGAGAAAAAAGAGGTAAATGGACGAAATGTATTTGCCAATTGATAAATTGTATGCAAAATGGCATACCATGACTTCATATTCATACATGCATCTAATATCAATGGACTATTAATTGCATTAACTACAATGCTACTGTATGTGGACTTTTGATTTCTCTCTATCATCAATAATATTTTATAAACACGCTTTTGCTTTCAATTTTTCTTCTCAAGTGACTTGTCATATGAGGAGAGAGATGAAAAGAAACAAAATCGTGCAAGTTTTTCGCAACTATCATCATCAACATAAATACACCATTAAGTAGGGAAAAAAAAATAGCTTATCCAGATTTATAACTCTCTCATGTTTCTTTAAAAATTATCAAATGACACAGTATGTATGACGTGAGTAACATTGTTAAAAAAATGAGATAAACTATGATTATATCACATAATGAGTGCTAAAGAGACATGACAAATTGGTGATATACACCCAATTACTTAAACTAGCTAGTTCTTCTCCTAATTGTAGTTGGACCTTTTGCCTTTGAGATTGATGTATTTATGCATCCCTAGTGGCACCATGCCACCAGTCGTTAGGTTTGCTTAGCTAAACAGCAACAGAAAAGCATGGTGGAATGGGGAAGTGGCAAGTAGCTAAGTTACTAAAAGCTCTGATTTCCATGCGGATGCAGGCCTGCCTGCGTAGCGTGAATACCGTGCACGCTAGTCAATGGCACCCACATCTACTTCCTCTGGCAGCTTGAACGTTCCTGATATTTCCACGTGTCGACTGCCCATATTGTCAGGTTCCTCGCAGATCGAGGCTCTTCATCACTGGTCGTCACTTACCAGCCAATGTGAAGCAGTGGTTTCAGTTTCTGGAAGACCGGTTGCCGGATGACTTCGTTGGAGTGATACGACGTCGCAGTGCGCGCGCTGTGATCAGCCTTCAGCATCAGATAAGACAAAATACTTATTACATAGCTATTTCGTTTTTAGTTTCTTTTACTTTGACATGATTTTATTCATTGTTTTTGTTCCGCACAATCTTTCTTCACTTTTCTCCATTCTTAACAAAACAGGAAATTAGATTTAAACATTCGATTACTGTTGTCACCATTTGTTAAGAGAGCATCAGATTTTGATCGAATTACTTATGAGGGTAAGTTATTTGAGATTAGCTCAAGCGGATAAAAATTTGAGTTGAATTTTTTTATGATACAAATTACAATAGGAGAGAAGGAGCGTAATCAAACTTAAGATCTTTAAAAGAATATTAATAAGGAATAAAAAGCTAGGCATCTGGGTTTGGGTTGGGAGTGAATTTGTATGTTCAGTTGTTTTCTTTTGAGTATGGTTGAAAAGAATGTTGTTAGAGACATTTTTGTTAATCAAACATTCTGTAATTAGTCAAAACCTTAATTCATTCCAATTTCCCAGAACCAAAACCAACCCAGTCCAACCCAGTCCAACCCAACCCAATCCAGGTCCATCTACTTCATCCGGACGATCCCAGTAATTGCCGCGAAGATATTAAACCAGATAAAGCTCAAGGCGCAAAAGGTCAGAAGCTACAGAGTCACTCATAAAGCTGATCAACATCAAAATCCTTGACCCGCGGCATGACAAAGAATCAAGAGAAAATTCACCAAAAAGAAGAAATGAAGCTGAAAGTATACGTCGATAGATTGTCACAGCCATCTCGTGCAATTTTAATCTTCCTCAAGTAATCTATACTTTCCTTTTTTCTCTTGTTTCCAAACTTTAAGGTTTTTGTTGTTATTTCTATAATTCGATTGATAAATCTCTTAGTTTTTGAATCTGGGTTGTTGTTTTTGCGGTCTGTTTTTTACACGTTTCTTTTTTCCCTGTTGTGAAAGGGTAAATGGAATAGAGTTCGAGGAGATTAAGATGGACATATCCAAACGTCAACACTTGTCTCCTGAATTCAAAAGTATGTCTACATATGTTAATTTCGATTCAATTCAGGTTTATGTTTGGTGATCAGTGGAAAATCTGAATTTATTTTGTTTTTTCTATTTTCTGGACTAATAAATTGGTTATAAACTTATTTGGGTAAGTTTTTTTTCTTTTGGATGGAGATGATATTCTAATCTAATCTAAACTACGGGGATGGGGATTCGAACTTGGGTGCAGACGGGGTACATGCCCTTAGTCAACTTGGCTACGTTTAAGTCTGCAAACGTATTTGGGACCCAATAGTTTTGAACTGATGTTTCTTATTGAATGATAACCATGTTGATGAAAAATGGAAAAACAAGTACTTGTGGGATGTACATGACTTTCGAGTGTAGAACAAGACCCAAGTCACTCACTTAAGAAGATCATTGAATGATCGGGGTTAATTCACTAGTAATGAAACAATATGTTTTAATCTTTTTACCATGTTTGAAGTAATGACTGCTTGTTTTTTATTTTGCTAATGTGGTGGCCCTAGCATAGTAGTAACGTACCAAAGTTGTTCACTGAAGCTTACAAGAAAAAGAGAGAAGGATTCTATGCTGGATGAGTGGGATGGTATCTGCTGAATGGCTCATGGTTTTTTGTTTTCTTTTTTGTCTTATGTGATCTGTAGAAATAAACCCTATGGGACAAGTTCCTGCTATTGCTGATGGGAGATTTAATCTCTTTGAAAGGTAATTAATTATATTTCGTGTTTTGTACACTGTAGTAACTATCTTAGGTTTTCTCTTTTCAATTTCTTCATCCGTTCATTCCTTTTGGCAGTCATGCAATTCTTGTTTATCTTGCTTGTGCATTTCCTGGAGTAGCAGATCATTGGTAAGTCTTGTTGCTTCCTTGGTGCCATGAATTCTTTTGACATAAATGGCATGGGTTTGGTTATGTAATTTGGATATGGACATGCTCAATACTTTGCCTTGTGAGTTTGTATTCAATTTAGTTTGATGAATTACAATACATACTGCTCTTAAACAAATAGAACTTACATTTTCTCACACTTCAGATCATCTCTGAAGATCCAAACTCCAAAGAAAAGGAAGCACAAATAGAAGTCGATTTTTTTTAGAATTTCTTATTGTTTTCTAATAATGTAGAGCAGAATTATAATTATGGCCAACAAAAGTTAGCAATGTAAGCTTGGTAATTATGATATTAATTTTAGTTACTTTATCAATTACTAAGGACACACTTACATTAAACCAAAATATCATTTTCCAAGGAAATATCGTGGCATCTGGGTTCATGCAGCTTCTGTTTCAAAAGTATTTGATACTCTCAAATGTTTATCATTTTTATCTATAGTTCTGTAAATAAACTTTCCTTTTTGTGCTTTCAGGTATCCGGCTGACCTTTTCAGGAGAGCTAAAATCAACTCAGTATTGGATTGGCATCACTCTAACTTACGCCGTGGTGCAGGTCTCTATACTTGTCTACCAAATTATGCTTCTGATTTCTTTAGTCTGGTCGCATTTGATTCTGCTTTCTCCTTGCAGCTTGCTGTGAGAAAAGTTGTTAATAATGTATATTGATGATTCTATTCTTCAGTGAAATAACTTCTTTCAATCTGATGAGCTGTTGCTAGGGAGATTTATTATATACCTATACAGTTATACATAAAAAGAACCTATGTGTTATACATAAAAGAACCTATGTGCAGTGTGCCAGTGACTCGGGTAGAAATTTGTGAGTATGAATTCAGTGATATATGACTGGTTAGTTTCAGACCCCAGAAGAGAAAAAAGCCTCAATTGTCTAGTCTTTGTCAGTGGTATTTGGTTCTCATTGTTGAAAATATATGCACAAAATGTGGAAAGAAATAAGAATAAGAATGATAATCATTTAGATTCAGCCATCTGCGAGTACCTGTCCCTCGTTTTCTGTTAACAGATTTGTATGTATTATTTTTCAACTTGCAGATGTACTACTTTCAGCCAGTTTAAATCTCAATTTATTTACTTTGTTGTTATTAAAGTGTTTGTTTAAATCACATACATTCTTCCTATGGCAGTGATAGATATGCAGTTATGGTTCATGCTGCATTAGATTGCATTTTTCATGGGCTATTGAATTTTCACATACATACATCTATCTTCAGTAGCGAGCAATATACCGTTGACACAATATAATTTCTGGTTATTCTTTGTTGTGATGTCGCCCTCAACAAGATACATATTTGAACGGTAAAGTACTTGCTTTGGTTTCCCCTTGTCTTATTTATTTTCCCTTGATGCTTCTCTTTCAGCACCATACGTTCTAAATACTGTACTTGCACCCGTGCTTGGACTTCCATTGAATCCACAAGCAGCTGCTGAAGCTGAGAAACTTTTGTCCTCCTCTTTGTCTAAAATAGAGTCGATTTGGCTCCAAGGTAATGGAAAATTCTTGGTGGGTGGACTCAAACCATCGATAGCAGATCTCAGCATGGTTTGTGAAATCATGCAACTTGAGGTAAATAGATGCGACTCATGCTTATAAATGTTGCTTTATGGGTCAATTTCATTTAAATAATTGGGATGGGTTTGTGGGTTCGGAAGGATTTTCTTCAACTTGTCATGTATAATGAACCAAATTCTAGTGATGAAGTAAATAGGTAAAAAGTAATACACGATGAGAGATGAAGTATTAACATTTACAGTTGATTGAAGCAATGGTTTCTTGGTGTGTTAATTATTTATGAAAAGTGGTAAATAACGCGTCATCCTTCCACCTTTGACGTGTTCTTAGTCTGCTAAATTTTGAATGTTGCTCCATTTCTAGCTTATCTCGTACTCTCAAGAAGGGAATCTACCAAGTCATACTCCTTATACATTCAAGATTTCTATTGGCTTGAGATAAATAAAACCATACTATTGTTGTCTACTGGATTTGTTCTGTTCTATTGATGTTTTGTGATATCATGGGAATTATGTAATCTATTGAGCTAAACTGGCCGTGGAAATTAGATACAGAAAATTATATAGGCAGTGCCTGTACCAACATCGTAAATTTATTGGGGAAACATTCAACTCTGCAAGTTTGAAATAATCTTACTCCACTTTATCGATGTTAGATTAACCAGTTGTGTTTCTATCTGAAGATAGGATGAGCCCCAACGTGATCTCTACCGGATTTTTACTTTGGTTGTGGAAGAGGATCTATTGGTCCGGTCATTCTCTGTAGTAAAAGATTATACATTATAAAGAAAGCAACCTTCATTTGCGGATGGCATCACGTGATATCTTAACGCTTCATTTTGTCTGTAGCTTGTAGATGAGAAGGACCGCAATCGTATACTTGGCCCGCACAAGAGAGTTCTACAGTGGATTGAGGATACTAAAAATGCGACAAGACCTCACTTTGATGAAGTACATGAAGTTCTCTTCAGGGCCAAAACAAGACTTCAAGAGCGGCGGTTGATGGGAGCAAGCAACAAGACCGATTCCAGCGATAGAGCAGCTGTGCGTTCAAAGATGTGATGTGATGTGAGAAGCCATGTATGTGATTCGAAGTGCTGTTAGAATAATGGCCTCTTCGCGTAGAAAACTTGAGCCTGGCCGGCAACGTTAAATGTCAATGTATACTTTGACATGTGCAATGTTTTACTTCACTATGAACGTCTGCATCTCTTCTTGTATCGTGACAACTCTATAGCGTAAACAAATGATCTACTCTCTTTCACTCTCCTTATCACAGCTCTATTCAATGGGGCTAGAAGGGTTATTTTTGTGTATTGAGTGTGAAAGCAGGGATCCTTGTTATATAGTAAAGGAGGTGGAATCCGAGTAGGGAACTTCCCATCATGTAATCCTACTCGTACAAGACTTTATCACCTAAACTTTAGATTCATATTTGACTAGGTTTACTAATCCTATCACAATTGTTTTAGCTATGAAATCCTAGTAACACACTCTTCTTATTAGCGTACAAGTATTATTGAAATCAATCTCTGTAATCCTTAGTCTATATGAGATGTTACGTATAAGTGTGCAACTCTAATATAGTCTTACATGGTAAACTTTTTTGGAAAAAGTGTTTTTAACAAAAAAAAAAAAAAAAAAAAAAAAACAAACAAACAAAAACAGTGCCCGAGTGGTTTGTAAACTTTTATATAAATTGATGTGAATGTGTTAAATGACTAAGAGCGATATCATAGTTAAAGTGATATAATAATTATCAAAGACAAAATGTAGGGTCAAAAATTGTAATTTTGCAAAAATATATGAGGGTATTCCTATCATTTGAAAATTTCATTAAATGTACATTGATTACTATGGTTTGAAAAAAAAAAAACACTTTTTTAGAAGCATGGCAAACCATACTTTTGCTTTTCTACCATCATTGACAACAGCTTTTTAAAGAAACACTTTTTTTTTATTTTTTTGGTCTAGATTAAGCTGCTTTTTTTAAAGCATCATAATCTCGCTACTCAGTACTACAGTCTGATGGTATTCCTTTTCATTTAGAAGTGAGAGGTATTAGGTTCGAATCTCGTGGATGGCGAATTTGATACCAAATTAGGTTGCCCATTGTATGACTTAACCGAACTCTCCCTTCCCTTAATATAAAGATATCGATATGCTCAGAAAAAGAAAAAAACACCATAATCTCAAACCCACGTTACTTTAGCAGACGGTGATATGCACAACTCTCTTTCTTTTATTGTCTTGGGGGTAATTAGTGCATAACAATTCATTGAAGATGAAGTCTGCCATCACAATAATATACACCGGGAGCCAAACAGTCGTCGTTCCAATGGAATCGAAACTAATATTTATGGTTCGATTCTTACTTCATGTATCTCAAGGACATCCAAGTTCTTGGGTCTCTTGTAGTTCTTCAACAACAAAGAGCAGCAAACGACGCTAACAGAGGACGCAGCCATTGCAGCTCCGGCAATCCATGGCGGTAATCTAAACCTGGTGGATGGAAAAAGGGCTCCCGCAGCTACTGGGATTCCGAGCACATTATATCCCAACGCCCAGATATAGTTCAAACGAATGCGAGAGAAGGTTTTCCTGGAAAGGTCAATGGCTGTTATCACATCTTCCAAGTTGCTCTTCATAAGAACAATGTCAGCTGCTTCAATAGCAATATCTGTGCCAGCACCAATTGCCATTCCTACATCTGCTGCCACAAGTGCCGGTGAGTCGTTGATCCCATCCCCCACCATTGCAACAACGTACCCCGTAGCCTGTGAATAAGAACATGAAGCTTATAAAATTCTAAGACCAGCTGCATCTTATTGTAAAATGAAATGTAGTATAATTAACGACTGTGAAAGTACACGACTCACCTGCAAATCCTTCACTTTCTCAGCTTTATGTTCGGGTTTGGCTTCTGCGATCACGGTTTCAATTTCAGTTTCCTTGGCAATGGAATTTGCTGTGCCCCAATTGTCACCTGTAACCATGATACTTTTAACTCCCATAGACTTGAGTATGGAAACGACTTCTTTGGCGCCGGGTTTCAGTGGATCGGATATGGCTACAACTCCTGCTACTTCCCTGTCTATAGCTATTAGAATCCCGGTTTGAGCTAATGCTTCAGCTTCTGCTAGTGCAGCTTCAGCCTCCACCGGAATGGCAATGTTAGAATCCAACATTAAACTCTTGTTGCCTACGATTATCTCCTTGTCCCGAACAACTGCCTTCAATCCTTGGCCGGTAATGGATGCAAAATTTTGTGCTTCAGGCCAGGAAGGATTGTCTTCTCCTTCTCTGAATTTCTTGGCATGCTCTACAATAGCCTTGGCTAGTGGATGCTCACTGTTAACCTAATATACACAAATGCATTGAAGAGCATCATACTTCAAAGGGAGTTTGTTTACCAAACTTCCGTTCGACAAAAATTGGAAGCGATATTGAAATGCCTACCTCAGTTGCCGCAACAAGTTCATAAAATTCATGAGGGAGCATATTATTGAAGATTTTTGTGTTTACAACCACTGGTTTCCCAGCTGTGAGAGTCCCCGTCTTGTCGAAAACAATGCAGTTCACCTGCAGTACTCAAATTACAGATCCATGAGAACTAAAAATGTGGAAAGAGGTCCTCTAGTTTAATGACAAAGTGCTAGATGAATATCACTTGCTAACCTTATGTGCGTTCTCTAATGCTTGGCCCCCTTTGATCAGTATACCTTGAGATGCACCAACTCCGGTACCAACCATAACGGCAGTAGGAGTTGCTAGGCCTAAAGCACAAGGGCAAGCTATGACCATGACTGAGATCCCGAACTGAAGCGCAAGCTCAAAACTGTCGATAGAAGACGGTATCCAAGACTGTGGGTAGCTACGGAACTTCCCTGATAAAAACCAGGCAAGCCACGTCGAAAATGAAAGAATGATAACCTGCAAATTTAGCCACATGCTTACAAAGTTATGCACAAACGTAATACTAATAGAAGTGCTTTCAAAATAATTTCAGAAAGACATATTATGACTGAAAATTCATGTCAAATAGTTGGTTACCGTTGGCACAAAGTATTTCGAAATGCGATCAGCAAACTTTTGTACAGGAGCTTTGGCCATTTGCGCAGATTCAACAAGTCGAACAATCTGCGAAAGAGCACTCTCGGATCCAACCCTTGTTGCCTTAATATGCAACACTCCATTCACATTCACAGTGCCTCCAATGACAGCATCACCCTTATTTTTACCCACCGGCAGTGCTTCTCCTGTTATCATGCTTTCATTCACATGGCTCTGCCCCCATACAACAAAACCATCACAGGCAACTTTAGCACCCGGAATGATTTTAATCACATCATTCTTTTGTATCAACCTACTATCGATTTCTTGTTCGTTTACCACGTTTCCATCCTCATCCAAACTCAGCAACGTTGCTGTCTCGGGCGCCAAGTTCATAAGCTTGGCAATGGCATCAGATGTCTTCCCCTTTGCCAAAACCTCCAGATACTTGCCTAACAAGATAAATGCAATAAGCATTGAGCTAGTCTCAAAGAAATCTGTACCCTTGAAATCTCTAGAGATTGCAGATCTTAAAACTATATAGACTGAATAGAAATAGGCTGCATTGGTTCCCAAGGCAATCAAAACATCCATATTAGCAGAACCATTGCGCAACGCTTTGTATGATCCAATGTAGAACCTCCTGCCTATGATGAACTGCACTGGAGTGGACAGCTCCCACCTCAGAATCTGACCAACTGTCAACTTATTCACAATTCTAACATCAAGCACCTTCTTAATTCCTGGGATATACATCAACACCATGGAGGTTAAAAACACGGGAATTGCGAAAAATAAACTCCATAAAAAGTATTTATAGTACTGCTTAACTTCCTCCTTTCTATGAGTGTCTCTCCCCCCTTCAGGGTATATCATTGCTTTGAAATGCGCGGACCCTGATGATTCGATCACTTCGATGAAAGTTCTTGGTCCTATGACATCTTGTTTATAACAAACCGAAATTTTGTTGAGTTCGGGGAATGTCTCTATGTCTTGAACCCCAGGAAGTGCCTCAAGGGATTTTGTTATTGCTCTAATGCTTTGTTCAGTCTTTATACCGTCAACTTTGAGCTCAATCTTGCTTATGTCGTCCCCTAGACTAATAAGTTTCGCTTCGAATCCGGTGTTTTCGACGATTTCCGACAGCTGATTGTAGCTTACAATCTTTGGATCGTAATGAACTTCTGCTTCTTCAGTTGCTAAGGCCACTTGAGCTCTTTGTACACCATGAACTGCTTGGAGGGCAGATTCAACAGTGGAGGAGCAAGAGGTACAAGTCATTCCATTTATGCTTATTCTGCATACTTGTCTTAATTTGCCATTAATTGTCTCCTCTTTGATCAATTTGGCTTCAAATCCCGCATCTTCCATAGTCTCGCGTATTTTTTCCTCCTACATATGCATTGGAGTAATTAGCTCTATCACTTTATGAATGTTGGTGATGGACTGTATGATTTGTTGTACCAAATTTAATGAGCAGTAAAATGGGATCTTTAAATTCCTACTCAAAAGCCAAGTGGCAATGGGTGCCGAGGCCTAGATAACATTAATATATTAGAGAATATTTTAATTCTTCAAAGATTCGCACTCTAAACATAACACTTCGTTATTTCAAACCACACATGAGTATGCATGGTCGCCCAGTAATGGGTTTGATATCAACGGTCAAGAATAAGTTAATAATTAATACACATTCAATTCTTTTAGTATCAACCTTTTTTATAAACTCAATGATTGACCATGAACCTTTGGGTCACTTTGTGACTAAAAGAACGGGACTCCACTTTGAAGATATAAGGTTACTTGCAAAATTAGACAATGAGTTCCTTAGTTCACTAGCAAATAATGTATTTTCATTGTAGAAATTTCATAATCGAAACTGTTTAGTTTGTCAATCCTCATTGCAAGATCATCTCTACAAACAATCATTTGAACCAAACAGTCGTTTAGCCCTCCAAATATATCAAAATAAATTGACGGTGTAAGTACCAAGTAACATAATAACGATGAACCGCCAATTTGTTCCATATATTTGGATGGCTAAATGATTTTCTATTTAGATGATTTTTTTGTAAGGATAAGCTTTAAAAGAAATTGAACGGTTTCGATTATGAAATTTTTACTGTAAAAATACGTTATTTGCAAGTGTGGAAATGAGCTATCCCCAAGAAAGAATGCAAGTATTATTCCAGGAAAAAAATTATCGGTATTAGTTACATGTAACACATCAACATTAACTGTTTATTTTCTATTTAAATTCGATGAGAAGATAGACATTGCATAAATGATAATATAAAAAATGGGCATTTAGATTTAGGTCCAAAAAATCAACATTTTATTAGATTAAGCTCAATTTGACCTTTTCTTCACTAGTATTTTTTTAGAACAATTACACACATCCAAATTATAAGACTATATTTTAGAGAGAGACCAAGTTTATTTATTTATTTATTTCAGAGACAAAATTTATCCATTTGGTAGGTGATGCCATGGTTGTTTTTTAATTACTTTTGCATTTACAGTTTCACTTAGCTATAAGATGAGTCTCTATCTCTTTATTTGTACTGTTTCTTTCTCTCTCATTTTTCTTCTTTGTCCATTTCTCTCTATTCCTTCTCCTTCCTACCTCTCTCTCTCTCTGTCCTCCTAATTGTTCATCGTCGTCGTCTTCTCTCTCTCTCTCTCTCTCTCTATCTCTCTCTCTCTCCCTCCCTCTCTCTCTCCCTCCCTCTCTCTCTCTCTCTCCTACTTCTTCGTCATCTTTCTCTCTCATATTTCTTCTTCACACTTCTTGATCTCCTTCCTCTCTTTTCTTTTTTTTTTTTTCATTTTTGTTCCCTAGATTTATGAGTGTTTTTTTTTTCTTTTCTAAGAATGATTGGAATTTTAGATTTTAGGTTTTTATTTTAGTATTTTTTGAAAGTATTTGATTTTGAGGTTTTGATCGATTTTGACTATGAATTTTGAAACTGATATTGTAGAAGTACATGAATTTTGAAACTAATCATGCAAAAATATTGAAAATTTGAAACTGGTTTTGTAGAAGTGCTAAATATTTTGAAACTAATCTAGAAAGGTTGAAAATTTTAAAATAGATCTTGTTGGAGTGATGAAAATTTTGAAACTGACGTTGCAGAAATGTTGGAATTCTGAAACTGATATTGCAAAAAAGTTGGAATTTTGAGACTAATCTTGCAGAAATACTGGAATGTTGAAACAGATCTTACAAAAGTGCTAAATTTCAAACTGGTCTTGCAGAAGTGCTGAAAATTTTGAAACTAATCTTGTAGAAATGCTAGAGTTTTAAAATTGATCTTGCAAAAGTGTTGGAATTATGAATCTGGTGTTGCGAAGTGCTATAAATTTTGTAATAGATTTTGTAGAAGAGGAAAGTTTTGAAACTGATCTTAAATGAAATGCTTTGCTGTTATTGCTCTTAAATGTTTAGCTTAGGATGATTAAAAATAGGATAATGCTAGAAAGAACAAAATTTTAAATCAAATTTGTAAATCAAATGATATGTCACTAATAAGAAACAAGCATATTAATCAACACTTAATTAATAATCCAATCATCTACAATCACATTATTTGGTATACATGGTTTTAAAAAATTTGTTCTTCCTAACATTACCGTTAAAAATAAGGTTTTAGCCAAGTCCTCACATGAGGTTGATGTTTTAAATTTTTGGAATCCGTTCTCTATATATACTACATTAATTGGCTATAATTGTGGATGCAAATTTCCGTCTTCTCCTTCTTGGACAAAATTGCACCTACAAAACAAATCACACCTTTGGTCAAGGCCAAAAAAGCCTCACACGCCCATGATGATTTTTTTTTGGGGGGTTGGGGGGGCGCTTTGGTCGAAGAACCTCCGATGCCAAAGTTAGAATTTTGAGGGAAGAGTGTTTGGAGAATTTTGTAGAGTTTTGCAAGAGACTTGGAAGTAGTTTTTTGAGAGAATGGAGAGCTATTTATAGGGATATGGCCGGCCCTATTAGGAGAATAGGGACCGGCCATTTGTGATAATTTTTGGGTGTAATTTGTAGTTAATTAGCCATTAATAGATTAATTAGGTAATAAATCCATTAATTGATTAATTAACATAATTTATAAGAAATGTTTTGGAGGTTATGGAATAATTACCTTGTGGAGAATATAAGATGAGGGTGGATGAAATAGTTTTGAATTTGTTACCTATTTTGGGCACTTTTGACTTGGTTGAGGGATGATTGCCCGCTACTTGCGCGTAGGTATCCCGGTATGCCTTAAGGGTATTTTTGTCCTCTTCTATCCAAAAATTCACGTGTCGCCTTATGATTATTTTTGTCTCCACAATAATCCTTTGAAATTTTGGCATTTTCATTCGATGAGGTTGTTTTTGTTTTGGATTGTGGGTCAGAATCACTGTTATAAAAATTCCCCCTAGCGTTGCTTAGGCACTAGGTGGTTGACCACCGTTTCGATTAATCCCTAGGCATTTCAAAATTAAGAAAGGTCACCTAGACCTGCTTAGGAGCCCACCGAGACCGCCTAGGCACTTGCCTAACCCGCCCAGACCCACCTAGGTACTCACCTTGGTTGCGGATCTTACTTAAACAAAAAATAGATAACTTTCATTTTGCATTTTATTTTTTTAATAAATTGTAAGAGACTTATTGAATACTTAGATGAACACATATTATATACTTGTCCCCCATATAATCTATATGTTATTCTATTTTGTAGTATATGTATCCTGAAGAAATTATGTATTTTTTAAGTATAAGCAGACACTTATTGTCTAGCCGCCTAGGCAGTAGGCCCCAACCCACCTATGGTTCAAATTCGCATTTGGCAAGAATTGAACATAAGACCTCTCATTTACAAGTGAAGAGGAATACCACTAGACCGTAATACTAAGAGCAACTCTAGTGGAGTCCATAAATAGGGACAACCACTGTGTAAAATAGGTATAAAACAAATATAGGGATAAAATAGATCTCCAATAGATCGGAAAGTGAGTCCCTAAAGCATAGGGAATCATCGGAAAGTGGGTCCCTTTTAATGCTTTTAATTAATTAAAACATGGATAACATAAACAAAAAAATGTGCACCTTGAATAGAAAAGGGACCCACAATCTCGATTAAAGAGTTAACGTTCTTGATGCTTTAATTTTAGGGAGTTTCAACCAAACACTCTTGGTACTATTCACTTTTAACGAAAAAGCACATTTGTATCTTTTTTCTGGTACTATTCGCTATACATTTAAAAAAGTTTTTTCATTAAAAGGGAAGTTCTTTTGGACTTTTCGTTAGTTTTCCTTTAATTTTAATGTTTTTAATTAATTAAAAAAGGTTAACATAAGCAAAAAAATGTGCACCTAATCAAATTATCATGTAACATCATAAAAACTTTAAATTTAAGGATTCTACTATAAGAACTCTACCATTGGAGGCTTTAAGTCCTCAAATGAGTACTCAAAAGTGGAATGAGAGTCCCTAAATAAGGACTTCCATTAGAGATGCTCTAAGTGGCCCAAGAATGCTAGTTGAGATAAACAGAGGAAACAATTCTTATTATTAAAGAGATAATTATTAATTTATTAAAGAGATAAATATAAAAAAGAGATAATTATTAATAATAAAATAATTCTAAACACAAGGGATATGATCTATTTTAATAAAATTGATTATTTCTAATAATGGTTCACAAAATTGGACTTAAATCAAGTTTTTTTATTAAAAAATTATTATTGTCACTTCAAAATCTAATTATGTACTTCAATTTTTTAATATTTAGAAAGAAAATATTTTTTTTTGAAGATGGAAAAAAAAATCTAATTAAAAGCGCACAACTAGATTTTTGAGGTGATAAAATTCGAGTTTTTTTTTTTTTTTTTTTTTTTTTTTTTTTTGAACAAACGATATTATCTAAAAAAAAAAAAAAAGAGTTCTATATTAATAAGGAAACTTCTCTGATTATGATTAAACTTATACTAGCAGCTAGCTAGAACATGATGTTATGCAAAAAGTCAGATTTGACTTCTGTATATTTCAAAATAAACTTTGTGGGTTAGAATTATGCTTCCCGCTAAATAAGGTCAGGCTAATTATTTAATAAATAGTTCAGTGCTTTCATAATTCAGTTCAATTTGAAAAGGTAATACAGGAAAAGGGAAATAAAACTAGCTTTTGAAACCAAGTTAAGAACACATATGATTGATTTTGGAACGAAGGGTCACCACTCTCCACTCAGGTTGGTTGAGGTTTGGGGGCTCTTGCCAGTTGCAACAGCTGCCAAGGTTAATTCTAAGTATTATTTTAGCTTTTTAAACATGGAGGATTTTACATTTTCTGTGAACTTATTATATATTATGAGTAATAGTTAAAAATACTCAGGTCGAGGTCAATTTGTGAACCCAAACTGCAGTCTCTCTAATGTGTTAATTATTTGTTATGTGTACATGGCAGATGAAAACTCGAATTTGAAACATTTTTTCAATATTAAAAACGCAATTATTCGTAAATGACTCACTATTCTTTGTTACCTTTAGATGATTTTAAAAGAAAATTGAATTCATAATATTTTAGTGGTAAAACAAGTATTTGAATTTTTTTATACCACAACATTTTCTTTTGGGCGAAAGTAAAACGATACTGAAGGCGTGGTTTGCCAAAGCCGCAATATACTAACTCTATGTGGACACTCCCAATCCATGAAAGTCCAACTTTTCTTGAAATATTAACTACACATAAAAATCTGCTTGATCGTTATGCTCCAAACAGGTTGTCGCCATTTAAAAAAATAAAAAGAAGCCATTTCCCTCTAACTATTTAGTCAAAGAAAGTAATTTCTCTTGCAATCAAGAAGGAAAAAAAGAGCAATCCAAAAAAGTAAGAACTTACAGTAACCAAGCTTGGATAGTAGAGAACATGGACAGTATTATTCAACACATCGACGGCAGCCTCACGGATCCCCGGAAGCCGCTTGACCGCCTTTTCAATCGATCCGGCGCATGCAGAACATGTGATGCCAACCACAGAGAACAAGGCCTTCACCTCAGAGCCATTTACATGCCTTGCTTCCGGCGACGTACCTTTTGGGTGCTTATGCATCGACGGATAGCGCGGCCGGGCCCAGCAGTCATTGCAAATGCAACCCATTCTAGCAAATTTAGTTAATAGGGTTTTCTTTTCTGGGAAGTTGGTAAGCTATTTAAAGTTGGGGAGGAGGAGGAGGAGGCACGGAGCATGCACTCTGGGAAATACTTTCTGGTAGTGGATATACGTGGGTTGCGTGTCTGAAGTGCACAAGGAAACCGTAAAATTAGGTTTTAGTGGCAAATGGGGTAAAACTAGTGTTGGGCTTGGCTTGTCATTGGACTTTGTTGAGTGGCATTACAACCCACTCAAAACTCGTCACGTGATAAGTCTTAAATATAATCTTTTGTCATTCTTTTATATTTAAATTTTTCATAATTATTTTTTCTACTAATTAATATATATATATATATATATATAATCTAATGTTTCTTTTTTTTTTCCTTGTCCCCCTATTTTTTTTTCTTCCCATATACCTCTCCACTTTCTTTTGCCGTAGGTCTTCAATATTCTCTCCCACTTCTTTCTCTCCCAGTTTGTTTCTTGCTTTCCTTCAATATATATATATATATATATATATATTTTTTTTTTTTTGCACCCACTCCAATTTTATCATGGAAAGCAACCAAGAATATGTAAGTTTCTTTTATTTCTTTATACAATAGTTCCTTTGATCATATGACATGAATAACCCACATATAGGCGTATTAGGGTTTTTTCTTTTCTTTCTTTTAATTTGGGGTTTTTGGGTTCGGGTGAAAGGTGTTTGCACTACAAAATGAAGTGTCATTAGCGAGGATCACATGTTGTCAAAAAGGCATTTTGCCGTCGCAAATACTTATTTCTGACGGGAAAAAGCCCTCGCTAGGCATCAGAAATTGTCCCATTGGAAATACATTTTTTTCCAACTAGCCGTCAGAATTAATTCATTTTCGACTTACCGGACTTGTCGTTAGTAGTTAGTATTTTATCATAAATGAATTTTCAAAATGGCAAACTTATTTTATTTTTGACATGGAAATGTGGTCGTAAATAACTATAGAGTTGTCGAAATTACTTTTCAAACAACGACAAATATTTTTTACGATGACTTTTTTTTCCGACCAAACAATTGTGTCAGAAAATCTTTTTCCAACAAAATAATCTTTATTTACGAGAGTGCACAATCATCGCAATTGCAATTACCGACCATACGAGGTTGTTGAAAATACGTAACCGTTTGACAAAAATAGGCACAAAAATATATTTGTGATGGTCAAGCGTCGTTGAACGTATGTACTTCCAATGGTGAAGCTTTATCGGTAATACATATTTGCAATGGCAAGCTTCGTCAGGAATATATATATATTTTCGACAAAGAAGCCTCGTCGAATATATATATTTGCAATGGTGAAGTTTTGTCGGTAATATATATTTCTGACGGTGAAGCTTCATTGGAAATATATATTATTGACCATATTTACTCGTCACAAATTTTTTCGTAACCAATATTTGGTTGAAAATGGGTATTTCCTGTAGAAACGTTTTTGTTAGAAATGTGCATATTAACGAGAGGAATTTACAATCGAAAAAGTTATTATTCTATTTATAATTAAATTATATATTGAGATTAAAATATGATAAAAATTGACACACCCCGACCTAGATCAGGGCGTACTGGCCGTCACGTGGAAGTGACGTAGCCATGTGCACAATGCGGAAGCTAATAAAATAGTAATGTAAATAGTACGAATAATAAAAACTAGCATACAAAAGTAATAGAAACAAGTGCTAGCGTAAGTGAGACACAAGTTCAGAGCATAAGCCTAAAGCAGTCCAAATGAAAATGATGCGACAACAGTACACCCGAAGGTGGCCCTACGCTGGTGATCGTCTGTCCGAAATGCCGGGAAGGTCCTCTGGGGAAAACCACCAAACCTGCTAGTCAACTAGAATCTGGAGGGGCGCAAAACAAAAGCTTGAGTGGGCAAAAACAAAGCTTTTCGAAAACCATTAATAAATACTTTCTAACCCCTCGCCGTAAAACCTGTATACTTCCCAGAAAATAGACATATATATATATATACCAATCATGCTCAAGAATATGCCATGCCAAAACCTCAGAATAAAATGCAAGTGCTCAGGTATAATCATATCACTATCATATAATCTGGCAGCCGGAGTCACCTAACGTGACCTGTACGGCTGAATCTAGAGCTCAAATCTCAACCTCACTAGCTGGACCTGCACACGAGTCGGAACCACCTAAAGTGGTCTGTACGACAGGCCTGGGTGTAATACATATATACGCTCTAGTGCTACGATCACGTGAAGGCTGGGCGAATAATCGCGGGTCACCTATGAGTCGGAACCACCTAAAGTGGTTTGTACGACAGAACTGTGCACCTAACTTGGATCCAAGCTGAGCGTGTGGTGCGGGAGGTGAACATCACGTGAAGGACTGTGCCCAACTCTGGGCGAGAACACTAACACCGGAGGTGCAGGTTATGAGCTCTCTATGCATCTCAAATCACTACTGAATATAAACATGAATAACATTTACCTGGCACTTACCTGTGCTTCTGCAGCACCAAATAAGCATATAAATATGTATACGATTAATATGGCAACTAACAATGCATAAACAACGATAATATAATGCATGGCCTATGGCAAATAACAATTCAAATCGATTTCTGGGAAAATATAAGTATATAGGTATATACGGAAAACCAAAAGCCCATTCACTGGTATGTGGAAGGGTCGTAGCCCCCCTGCCTCGAGTGACCACGCTTGTCCTCGAGATAGGAATCACCTATATGCGAAACAACTACAAAAACGTCAATTTTAAAGCACATAACCAAACCTTTAGAAATAACTTCTCATACAATACTCAAATGGGGTGTATGAATACACCAACGTGATCTACTCAACCTCAGGAACATCCCCATATTTTTAAAATAATTTTTCACCGTCCCACGCGCCGGCCACGCGCAGGCACGTGCCTGGCACGCTGACGGCGTCAGGAATTTTTCGTCAGTTTTAACAGATTCTGTCAACGGCGTCAGGAATATTCTGTCAGACTTGACGGAATATTCCGTCGTCTTCTCCGGCGAGCCTCCGGCGCCAGAAAACTGGGAAATTTTCAAACTTTGATATCTTCTTCGTTTTTCACCCAAATTTCACAAAATTGGTACCAAAATGAAGCTTAGAACTAGAGGAACACAATCATACTACTTTCAAGGGCTAAAATCCACGAAATCTCACCTGGAAAATCACCCCAAATCTGGCCAACCTCGAAACTCACTATCTCGACGTCCAAAACCTTCAAACGAACCACCCCGAGCCTCCTAGGGACTTCACCAAGCTTCCTACAAGCTTGAAATTCCCTAAAACGTGAGAAATCACGTGAGCATGAACAGTATCAAAGTCGGGCTTCGTGAGTTCGACGTGAAAACGAGGGTATTCTCACCTGGAAAAGGTATGGTTGGACTCCTACAAGCCTCACGAGCATGAATATGGCATTGGTTTCTTCGATCTATGGAGGTTTGATAGGTTTGTGGGTGTGTCCGTACGTTTCAAGAAGAATGGGAAGGAATGGGGACTCGGGACAGGGTGCAGGAAACATGAGGAAATGTGGTGTAGTGTGGGAAAGTGTGTGTGGCTCCAAACATGCCAACAAAACACAAAAAACGTAACACAAAACGTAACGGAAACAAACTTGGGGTAAAATAGTCTTTTCACGCGTACGTTTTAATATTTCTGGGACGGGTTGTCACAACCTACCCACCTTAATAGAATTTCGTCCCGAAATTCAAAACAACCAAACAACCCCTAGTGATCAAAGAACAACCGAGGATACAAATCCCTCATCCGATCTTCTGTCTCCCACGTAGCTTCCTCGACTGAATGATTCCTCCACAAAACTTTTACTAAGTTCACCGTCTTGTTCCTCAGAACCTTTTCTTTCCAGTCTAGTATCGTCACTGGCTCCTCATCATAAGTCAAATCTGGATTAATTTCCAAGGGTTGATGAGGTATCACATGAGACGGATCAACAACATAATGTCGAAGCATAGACACGTGGAACACGTTATGTACTCTAGCCAACTCCGGAGGCAACTCCAACCTGTAAGCTACCTCACCAACTCGCTCTGTGACCATGTATGGTCCAATGTACCTGGGACTCAACTTACCCTTCTTTCCCAACCGCACAACTCCTCTCCACGGTGAAAGCTTCAGAAATACCCAATCTCCGACCTCATACACTCTGTCCGTAGCATGCCGATCTGCTAAACTCTTCTGCCTGTCCTAGGCTGCCTTCAGGTTAGACTTGATCACCTGAAAATTTTGAGTAGTCTCCTCAACAATCTCCGGGCCCACTAAAACTCTTTCTCCAACCTCTGACCAACACAACGGCGTACGACAAGATCTACCATACAATGCCTCAAATGGTGCCATGCCGATACTCGAATGAAAGCTATTGTTGTAGGCAAATTCCATTAAATCTAACCGTTTGTGCCAAGCATCACTAAACTGTAGTACCGAAGCTCGCAACATATCCTCCAAAGTCTGAATGGTTCTCTGTGACTGTCCGTCCGTCTGAGGATGATACGCCGTACTATAAAGTAGTCTCGTACCCAAAGCTTCCTGAAAAGCCATCCAAAACTTGCATGTAAATCGTGGATCACGATCCGAGACAATACTTACAGGAATACCATGGTATTTCACAATCTTCGAGATAAACAATTCCGCTAATCGGCCCAAGGAATACTTCTCCCTCACAGGAATAAAATGTGCTGACTTAGTAAGCCAATCAACGATCACCCAAATGCCATCAAAACCATTATGTGTACGCGGAAGCTTGTACAAGAAATCCATAGTGATATTTTCCCATTTCCACTCTGGAACGGGAAGCGGCTGTAACAACCTAAATGGCTTCTTCCTTTCCGCCTTAACTTGCTGACAAACAGCACACCTACTCACATACTCGGCTATCTCCCTTTTCATACCCGGCCAATAATAAAAGGGTCGAATGGTATGATACATTTTAGTAGCTCTTGGATGCACAGCGTAAGCTGAGA